ATGGTTTATGAGTGTTATCTAGCTACGGGTGATTTAGATTTTGTCCAAGAGGTTTGCATATTTTAATACTTTTTTATATGATTGTATGATCAATGTATTTGATGCAAATTACAAATTACTTCTAACTTCTCGGTCTTTCTTACGATCTGAAAAATCAAAAAATTCTTACCTGGAGTGACAGCATGATGCAAAAAGCTATTCCTTAAGGCAATTTTTCAGTAACATTGACTAAAAAGAAATCTAGTTTTTCAATAAGAGTTGGATAGCTGCGACATCGTATGGAGAATTTTGTTTCTTCACCGACATAAGTTATAATTTCCCTATGTTTATAGATTCTTCCAATGCTTGAGAAAGAATACAATTTTTGGATTTTGCAACGTGCTCGATCATTCCATGACGAAGAACGTGGTATAAATATTTCATTTTTCCAATATCGTGCAAATATGAAAACACCACGTCCTGAATCTTACAGGGAAGATTTGGAATTAGCAAAAGATCTTCGTTCGATGGGTTAGTTTCAAACATTAGCATAAAAATTATCTAGTGATTCTCGTAATCCTTTTCATTCTTTGATGAATGTTCTAATAGTTGTATAAATGCACTCGTTTTCACCTTTTTTCTCCTATATCTCTACTTCTTAATTATAGTAACATTTATTATTTTTAATTATATGTATTAACATTAATTATCCATTATATATAAGTTACTTTATTCGTTATTATTTCAACCATTTTATCTTTCTGTTCCAATTTCATATATTTTATTCCATTGGAATAAATAAATTAAATTATCAATTCTTTTTTTACAGCTGAAAAAGAATTGATGTGGTCGAACATAGCATCAGCAGCTGAAACAGGTTGGGATTTTAGTACTCGTTGGTTTGCACAAAGTGGTCCAGAAATGCATAATATGAAATCAATTCGGACTTGGTCCATTGTACCCGTTGATTTGAATGCTTTTATTTGTATCAATGCCAGAATTATGGCTTCATTTTATGAAATAGCTGGTACGTTTTTCCTCTTCATAATGTTTCGATTCTCTTGGCTACCTTTTTTGATAAACAATTTAATGCCGAGATATTAAACCTAATTTGTTTGTCATTGTAGTTTCTTTAAACATTAATTTTTTGTTACTTTATAAAGGAATAAAGGAGTACTTTTTTATATCTATACCTACTCAAGGAATTGGATGTATTGAATAATTACTAGATATCGAGATAAGTAATTGCAGTTCAAGAAAAAACTTTGCAATTCTCGGATATTCATTTTATTTTCATTTTAATTTTAATTTACTTTTCGCTTAATTCTTTAATTCATTTTAATTTACCTTTTCCTCCTGATAACATTAAAAATATTGTACATATGGATAAAAATTCTTTGTTATTATTTTCCTACGATATATTATAATATGTATAGTGAACTAAATTTGGTGCGCATCACCAATCTAAACTGAATTTGATTTTTAGGTAATTTCCCGAAAGTATTGCTTTATCAATCGCGCTATGAAATGGCAAAATTGGTGATGAAACTTATCCATTGGAATGAAACCGATGGGATTTGGTATGATTACGATCTAGAGAAAAAGGTTTCTGTTGAAATTATTTTTTGGCACTGAATGCTTTTTTTAATGAAAAATGCCTAGTATAACAGTAAGATATGCTTATTATACCTTGTTCCTATAATTTTTCATAACGGAAAATTCACATTGAACGAATTATACATTTTAAATGCAAAATTTTAGCTTCACTCTAACACATATTATATTTCGAACGCTCTACCCTTGTATGCAAAGTGTTACGATGATGAGGATGAAATTATTCCACACAGAGTCTATGATTACCTGAAGGTATGTTTTCTGGGTTTTTTTAAGCTTCGTAAATTATTGTTTCATTCGAAGTGAATCTTAACCATATTCTTTAAACTGTGTTCCTGTTTCCATTTAAAACCAACAACAATGTAGAATGCTTTTTAAACATTTCATGAAATTTTTAAGTTTCTCTTTTAAACTCTGACCATCGTAAAATATGCAGCGAGAAGGTGTGTTGAATTTCACCAAAGGCTTGCCAACTTCTTTGGCTATGGAAAGTGAACAGCAGTGGGATAAAGAGAATGCGTGGCCGCCAATGGTACACATGGTCATCGAAGGTTTTCGTACCACCGGTGATCCTCTACTAATGAAGGTATATGTTATACTTTGAAAAAGTTTTCCAAAAATGTGTTTATTTTTATTGGTTTATTGTTACTTGTTTGTGATGTTCTTCATGCTTCATTCTTTTTTTATGAATTGGAATATTTTTATAGGCTGCTGAAGCTATGGCAGTACAGTGGTTAGGTGTAACATACAAATCTTTTATACGTACTCATTCAATGTTCGAAAAGTATAACGTGTCGGCAATTTCTGAAGAATGCAGCGCTGGTTCCGGTGGAGAATACGAAGTGCAGGTTCGTTAGAACTTTAAAGTTTAAAAATTCTTAGCTCAAATCAAAGCACAAAACTTTCCTTTATCATCATGTATTTTTGATATTTAATAGTCATATTCTCGACATTGAATTTAACTTATTCATTAAATATTTTCAAAACTGAACATTCTGGTGGTATACTTCGTGATTTTGAATTTGTCGTGAGCTCTCGATTTGGCAATCATGTAATCAATTGCAAATTATGAATAACTCTTTAGGATAAGATTTGACAAGTCAAGTTTTAAATTTTTCCAGACTGGATTTGGTTGGACAAATGGTGTAATATTGGATTTACTGGATAAATACGGGCAAAAAATGACTTCAGCAACACCTGCCCGAACACATCACATGTTTTTTATCGTTCTTTTCTCCATTTTATTATTATTTTTAACTAATTGAAGATTTTATTCCAACTACTTCAAAAGTTTGGAAAGTAAATAATAGTCTGTATTTAAATATTATATTTTTTTGAGGCTGCTTTTTATTGTATAGTCTCCCAGGAGGTTTTACACTTTCTTCTCATGCTTTTAATTGTTATTTTTTATCCAGACTTCGAATACAATATTTGCCTTTGCCTCCTTTTTTTTTCCTTCTTCTTCCCCTAAACTATTTTTCATTTTCATATGTAAGCTCATAGATAAATAGAATTTTTTTTGACTTTAAAACTTTATTTTATCATTCGTATGACTTTTAATCCCGGGAGTGTAATTAATGGTAATTTTTAGCCAGTGTTGGTTGTTCGGGTGACAATTTTTTCGGTGAAATATATCTGGTAGAATGTGTCTGGTACAATGATGCTTGTAAATAATCAGTATTTTGTTCAGTTACTTCGTTGAGATTTGATGTAAATAGAATGTAGAGCTTTTTCTTATAGCGTTAGTTATATTTTTTCATTTCTTTTAAATAATTTTACGTTTATTTTGCGTAGTTACAGTAGATAATATCGATATATGCTGGGAAATTTGGTTAATTTTTTAACGAGTTGAATTAAAAGTGCTTTTTTCTATCAGATCAAAATGTTAAAATCGTTGTTAGCCTTCTCACTGTATTTCACGTATTAGTTCGTCAATGATGAAATCAGCATTATAATAAGACGGGAAAAACAAGCAAACATGGAAATTTTTCTTCTGAATTTGAACAAAAGCTGATTACTGCTGCTACTTTTTTACCTACGTTTTTTTTAGAGAGAGGCAGTTTGGTGCTTTACTCAAAAAAAAAATACCATACACATTTTTTACCATGGAAAGAAAGCTGTCAATGACAAATTGGATGAAAAAGATAGAATAGTTATAAATACTCAAATTAGTGATTTACTGCATATCTACTACTCCAATCAGCTTTTTAATGGAGATAAGGATTGTATATTACTGGAGCTTATTTTGCTTTTCTAATTTGCAAACAAATTACCGTAAGTACAGTGATTTCATTATAAATCATTATTAGCACTTCAAGAGAACAATGGTGAAAAAAGTCGCATCGTACATCAATTTATATAAACTGAGGCGAAAACGAATGAAATATAATATATCGTGATATGAGAGCCAAAAATGAGCTGTTCCGTGAATCTCTTACATTCGCTTTTATCCTAAACTAAGCCGTTTGAGAGTTATGAATTAAGACGTATTTGTTAGACGCTTTTCCGGTTAGTTGTGATTTAGAATTATAGTCTTGCTCAACATGGTCTTTGCAGTTTAAAAATTTGCGCTGCAAATCTGTAGAAGAATGCGAATAGGAGATTAATGGAATTTGAAGGGCGAAATGTCCGAGAAATGGAAAAGGAAGTGATACCTGAAAAGCCGGGATTTAAAAATATGACTTCCTTCAATTTTCTAAATTGTTTCGCAAACTTTTCGAATTTCTTGAGATTTTGGACCTTTTGATCTTTAAAATTTTTGGATCACTTTTTATTTTTCATTTTTTTTTAAGAATTCACTTCTTATAAAGAGTATGAAACACCGTGGCTTTTTTTTCATTCATAACGTCGCTTTATCTTTACTACTTCACGTTGCAAGAAATGCATTGCAACATATGCACAATCACATAGACAGTGAGCATTTTTTTAGAAAAAAAAGGAAAAAATAAAAAAAGAATTTTTGGTAAAAGTTAACTTTTTCTTTCACTTTTTACTTATTTCATGAATGTTTGCTTTTTCTCAATTTCACTTATTGCTTACTTTCCTAACTAATTTTATTTAATGCATATATTTCATGTTAATTTCAATTGCCGCATAATGTTTAGCTATTTTGCATGTATTTTTCTTATAAATTTATTCAGGTATCTTATTAAAGCTTTACAGGGAACATTGCGACACACGTAACTGCTGATTAAAGTTTGCTGCAACAAACAAAAGTCAATACAAAAAGGAACAAAAAAAAAGACAAATGAACAAATAAGAAAGTGAATCTATTGAGATTAATCGAAATGAAATAAAAAATTTCAAGAGAACAAATAACAAATTTTAGCTCTGAAATGTAAACTGAATTTCGAGTCTTCAAAATGCATAACTAAATCCAATAAAAGCATTTGCTAGAATGGTTTTTGTTACAGCTCAATTGTAAGACTCACTGGACAGTGATCGCTTCCTTTGACTGAATGTAAAATATTGCACTCCTTTACTTTGTTCATAATTCGTTCACTAATCACAAAATAATCGAGTCTAAAAATTGCAAACTCTTGAAGGACTTCAAGTAAATCATCAATTTCATTTTATCATAGTTTGGGATTTCTGTGCATATTCAAGTTAGCAAAGATGATAGAACATAGAAGTATTTGGAAAGATAAATCAAAACGAACACAATGCAAAAAAAATGTACCTCCAACCCACATTCTTCTCCCTTGCATTGTGCATATTTGACCAAAAAGTATAAGCACCTTCTTTTTCCGGATTCAGTCTGCGATAAACATCCACGAATCCTTCAGTGAAAAATTTTAAACATGGAAATTAATTGGAAATTCCACCAAAAATCAAAGAACCTATTTTTTATAGTTTACAGTGATTTTAAGAATTAAGATAATAAATACCTGCATCAAGTAATCGAGTAAAATCATTCCGTTCCTGATCTGTGAAGCCAGCTGTCTTGTTACGATTGCTTTTCGGATTCGCTAAGTCTAAATGCGAAGTAATGTAAATGAATAATATTTGCTATCAATCCAGATTATTGAAGCTACATAAAATTACCTACCAATTTCCTGATGCGCAACGTTTAGGTCGCCAACATATACAATAGGTTTATTTAAATCAAGTTTTTTAATAAAACTGAAATAGCAGTCATCCCAAACTTTTCGCTTATCGAGATTCACCAAACCACGTCCACTGTTTGGAACATAAGCATTAATGAGGTAATAATTTTCATATTCAGCGATAATAATCCGTCCCTTATCATTCCCATCCAAATCAGACTTAGACTTGTCATTAAAAGTATATGCCACCTAAAAACAGCAATATAAAAAACAAATTTAGCAATAATAAATAAGGAAACAATGCACTGCAAATTCTTCTTTCTTCTTAATTCTTACAGAGTGAATTGTAAAAATTTTTACCTTTATCGGTTTCTCCTTCGTAAGTAACAATACACCACCATGTCCTGATTTTTCAGAAGTATTTAAAAAACTCTGATAGCCATTTTTCAATTCATTTGGAACTTCTACACATTTCGTTTCTTGCAGAGCAACAATATCCGGTTTCTCCTCAGCCAAAATTGAATGCCCACCCTTCTAAAGATCAGCAAATTTTAAAAATTATTTGAAAAAGATTTAGATAAGTTACAAAAAAAAAAAACTAAAATGTTTTTTTTTTTGAAATAGCAACCGTCATTATTCGAACTAAACATTAAGTAATAGAAATTATATACAAAATGACAATCCTTCATTTTCAAAAAAAAAAAACTGACAATCCTTAATTTCAAAAATTCCTAATTTTTTTAAAAAAAATTAGTGTTGTATGTATCAGATATCAATGAATGCTTGTGCTATTTTTGAAAATTTTGATAAAATACACTTGAATTGACCTTAATCCATGCTCTAACACCAGCAACATTCCAAGTGATAATTTTGATTTCTCCGTTACTCTTTTCAACTTTCCTCTTCTTTTTCTCCATTGTACGATCCTCATTTTTCATCTTTTCACCTTCATCGCTCATATCTCTCTTATTATTGTTAGCATTTTTGGATGCTTCTTTCTTATCACCTCTTTGTCTCTTCTTCATTCCTCCATCCATCCCAGACATTCTGTAAATAAGTGATGCATGCAATACGTCATGCACTAACGTTTTGTTCCATGCGTTGACGTCGACGTAGCATTGTCGTGCTATCAGTGGAAAACGTAGAGCTAAGAACATCCTAAATTTCAGAGTTAAATTTTAGAAGTGTGGACTGTCAAAAGAATAAAAATGCCACTCCGCCCCGCAAGGCCTATCATAGCCATGCCCCTCATACCTCTTTCCGATACCTTTCATGCCCTAATGAGTCCTCTCTAATTTAATTGCATCAGCAATCTGAATCTAAGCCCGTTCAGAACAAACATCACGATTGTATTCTTGGGATGGTTGGTTCTCATGCTTTTCTCGATTTCCGGTAGATGGCGGGGTCTTCAGGGAGGGATTTCGATGGTGTTACTGCTTTTTCAGATCTTTTTGAATAGTTTGTTTGCGTAGCAAAATGGTTCAGTTACCTTATTGATATCGTTAATATTATTGCTCTTTGGTACTCTCGAATTCTTATCACATCATTGGGATGATAATAAGCAGATTTGCGAGAATATTATTTTGCTATAAAAGAATTAGCTAGTAATCAAGTAATCAAGTACTGCATTTTAGATGCCGCTAACTAGGCGTGCCATCTCACCAGTTAATGTAAGTCTTCATCGTTTACCATCTTCGATACAGCAAGGCGAATTGGAATGTGTTGCAAATGGTACATTAGCAAATCTAATTCGACAATTGAGTTCATTAAGCCGGCATGCAGAACATATTTTCGGTGAAATTTATCATGAGGCTGTAAAATTGGATCATAAAACAAATACTTTATCGCAGAGGATTGAAAGATTAACACATAAGGTGACACAACTGGATTACACACAAGAGCAAGGTTCCTCTTTTAATTTTGAGAATTAAATGATTGCATTTATAATCTGGAGAATGAGATGAAGTACATCATTATTTGATATCATCACGGTAAATCTGATTTGATAATTTGATACTCTTTGAACTTTGTGTATCATGGTTGGAAATATTTCAGTGTCACTTGAAGATTTACATTTGCGAAAACCATTCAAAAGTAGCTGTATAATCGATCAACATACATTGGATCGTCAGACGTTACCTTCTGCTTTAGCAGAATGTTATGCCGCTTGTGATCCACCTCCCAATTTGGATGCTCTAAATCCTTATAGAGATGATAAAAAGAATGCACTTAGGTTAGTTAGCTTTTACCAGATGTTTTATTTTTCAGAAGTAAGATTTTGAATACGAAAAAAGATTGTATTTTGATATCAGATGAAAATGAATGTGAAAATTGCATACATGTTTTTTATAGGTACTATACAGATCCGTCATACTTCTTCGATTTATGGAGGCAAGAAATGCTGAAAGATGTTGGTGATGGACGCCGTGGACGTTCCATTAGATCAGCAGCAGAAAACAAAAGTCCCCGAAAAAAACGTAATCGTCAGCCTGTGACGAATAATATCGGAAGGGATAGCATTCCACGGTTAAAGCTGTGTTTATTTTATATGCTTATATTCTGCTTATGCTTTATATTCTTTTTTTTTTATATGATGGATTTTGTTTTGTAATAAGAGTATCGATATGTTTTCGATTATATTTTCAGATATTCTGTCGCATTACAACAGCGCCCTACAGACATCATGCATTTTCCAGCAGAATATCAGGCACCTCAGATAGTGCATATTGATCAAATCCGTGCACCGGCAGGAATGAGCGTGCCAGCTAGTAATGGATATGCTATGACGATACCAAATAAGGCTTCAGTTGCGCCTTTTTCTTCACCTGTCAGAAAGGTAAGGTTTTTTTGTGAATTTTTAATAAATATTTAAAAGAATACTAAGATGAAATTATTTGTTTGAAATGCAAGCTGCCTTATTTGCTCGTCATCAAAATCCTTTGTCGCTGTTTCGAAACAAGCAAAATTTCAGGAATCGCCAGTTGTTTTAGCTGATAATCAAATAGCTGCTCAGTTGGCTGATATTGATTTGCAAGATGATTCTCTTTTGGAAGATGATCTTCCTCCACCACCACCACCTCTCATGCATACTTCATTAGTTTGCCAAATGCCCTCTCCACCCACAATGCAATATGTCGCTCCATCTGGTAATTCTATTCCACCGCCCCCTCCTCCTCCACCACCACCATCTTCTTCTGTCACCTCCGCTGCAACAGTTATCCAATCACCTGTCATTGTTGCATCTTTTGCTAATAAAGAAGAAGCGAAAAATGAAACATCCACTACTCAAATTTCTGATACACGTTCAAATTTACTCGCTGAAATACAGTCTGGTATAAAACTTAAGCAGGTAAGCTGAGTTATTCTAGCTACTATATCAAGTTAAAATCTAATAAGTTTAATTAATTTTAGGTGCAGCGGAAAGAACAAGCAGCAGAGGAAAAAGCAGCTGCAGAAGCGAATGATGTTGCGGCTATATTGCGTCGTAGGATGGAGCATATTCTGGGACATTCCGATAGCAACAGCGAATCTCCAACAGATGATGATGAAGAATGGGACTAGCTAAAATAGTCTTGTTAAATTAACCTAAATGGTAGTTACTGTGCCTTCTAGCCGGGTAACAAAAATTGTTTTGGAAGTAATTTGATTGGATATTTGATCAATTTCATGCTACCATCATTAACTAATCCAGCTCCTTATCATGCAGAATGGATATAATATTTTTTGACGTTTAATATTTGGTTCAATTATAGAAACAAATATATTATATATTCAAATAACAACGAAATTCAGTTATCGTTAATTTGTTGTTATTCAATTACTTATCCTAGTCCAAATGTTATTACTTAGGTTACGCAATAAATGCTCCTAGTCCAAGCACTATTTCTTAAGTCTACAGTATATACCAGCAATGATTCTATTTTCCATGACATGACTTTGAAGTTGATGTTTGACCCACTTCTGTTCTGTTGAATAGATATTCAGTGATACCGTTATTGTATTTTTACTGCTCATTGTAATATTTGCGGTACGTTTACTATCCATATATTATTGCTCTTCTTTTTGGGTACTTCTTAATTTGCAGGTCTCTTCTGAATAATGCATTTAATAAGCTTTGTTATTGTTTTATAAATTTATCGTAAGTTTTTATATTAAATATATTTTGATCATTGAATTCCACATTTGTTGAAAATTGCCAAAGAGTATTTCACTTATTCTCACTGTGAGCAGTAGACTTTTTTGGAATATATGGAGAGATAACAGTCATATTAATTCTCCACTTATTACACTAATATTTTCTTGAATGATTGTTGTAGTCGTTTTTGCAGTATGTGTAGAAAGCAAATTATTGATGCAATAAGAAGTATCAAGAGAATTGCTGCGCAGAAGTTCGCTATTGGTCTGCAGGAACGTGAAGCAAAATGTATTAGGGATCGAATCGATAAGGTAAGATTTCATTTATTTGTTGGTTACTGAAGAAAATCTTTTTCAAGAAAGGGAATTCGTCGACTGCTATTCATTGGAATAAATATTTGGGAAAAGTAATGTGACGATTATTAAGCTACCAATTTCCTGTCAAACAAATTGTGTGTACATTGAGCTTTTACTAACTGATCTTTTTGACAATGTAGTTGTTCGAGTATTCTGTTTGTGGCGGTAAATGTAATCGAAGTATGTTGTTGGTAGCGGCCTATAAAGCACTCGGTGGACAACAGAATGAAAAACAATTGGAAATGGTGACAAATATAGCAGCCTGTTTGGAACTTTTACAAAGCTTTTTCCTCATCGAAGATGATGTAATGGATGAGGGCGTCAATAGAAGAGGCAAACCATGTTGGCATCGATTGGTTACTTTTCCTCTTCATTTAATGAGATAGATAGTTGTGCTTAGTGTTTTAGATCATGCTTATATCTCTCTGAAATTCTTATATTCCATCAGCATATATTTATTCATGCTAAAGTTTTCGAAGAGTTAGAACATATTTTAAAGTGCTCTTTTTAAGTACGATATAGAAAATAACTTATATATCATTTAGTCCAATAACCAATGATATATTTGATAACTTTTGGAAAGATTCTTAGGAAGAAATAGGAATAAATGGAATCAATGATGGCTTACTGCTGGATTGCATGGTATCGTACACTTTACGCAATAATCGAGTTCCAGCTACAGTTATAAATGCTTTTGATGAAGTAAGCTATATATTTTAGCAGTGTTTTTGTCACCTAGTATTTTTAGATTTGAAAAATGACGTTGTTAACTGGAAAAGGCAATTTTGTTTGTTTTGTTAAGGCTCGGCGCGTTACAGTACTCGGACAAATACTTGATGGCGATACAAAAAGCGTTGAAGATTGCACTTGGCAAAGGTTACTTAACACTTTAAGAATTCTTAAGCCATTTTAATAAAGATATTTTATTTCCTAATTGTCAATTTTAGACACTGGGCAATAACGCAGCGCAAAACATCGCATTATACTTATTTCACACCACTGCAAATTGCAGCTCTTCTAACTGCGCAACCATTAATCATTGAACCTTTAAAATCGATCTCATACCAACTTGGTTATCTGTTCCAATCCAGGGTATCTTTTTCACTGAATTTGAAAGCAGGCGGTAAACTTCGTCGTTTAAATAATTGAGAGGCTTCATGATTTATTTCCGGCATTTTTTTAGAATTGATTGGCTTCGAAAGATTGGTTACTGATATCATTAAGTTTCTAATTATAATAAAACTGTTTTATTTTCTTTTATTTGTAAAAAAGTCTCAACTCTTTAGGATGATTATATGGATTGTTTTGGCGATAAATCGACAATGGGTAAAGTAGGAAATGACTTGACAGAAGCGAAGTGTACATGGGTCACTTGTAAAGCAGTGGAGAAATTATCAAGTGAACCAAACTTCCTAACAGATTTTCGGGTAATATTTTGCTCCAACTGTCTACACTAAACCAAATATAAACTAATTATCAAAAGATAGAAACCTTTTTCTATTCCTTAAAACAATCATTTCAAGGAGAATTTTGGTAAACGAAGCATTACTTCGGAACAAAAACTGAAAGATATTCTGATGCATTTGCGGATTGCGGACGATTTTCTCTTATTTCGTGAAAAATGCGCAGTTGAAATACTCAGTAGTATTAATCATTTTCCAATGATAGATCTTAGACCAATCTTACGACAGTCAGTTAATGATTTGATGAATGGAAACCTCTGATACATCATTTTCTTATCGTGCTAGAAGTCGATGTATCTGGAATAGGTGACATTTGATTTTGCTTCAGCATTTCTCATTTATAAACTAAAGTTTTTGAAGCATGTTGTGGTTGTTTCTAGTATGTCCAGTAAAATTGTTGGCAGATGATCCTTTTGCATATAACGCTGGTAAAACTGAAATACCTTTACTTAGCAAAAATCTAAAAAACATAAGTGAAAGGGAAGAGTGTAACGAGTAACACTGAAGATCATCCTCGATAATATGTATTATATTGTATTTATGCATACCATTCCTCATGCTCAGAAATACTGGATCACTGAGCAGTGGTAGTAAACTATTCTTATGTAAAAGTTACATCCTTTTACTTTACATCATCGGAAAGATGTAATGATTCATTTAAACCATTTCCAATAACAATAACATATCAGTTCAACGGAAAAATCTTATGAAATAAGAAAAAGCTGCATTATTTCAAAAAATTACGACTTAATTATTTTAGTTATTCGACTCAAAACATAAGTCTAAGAGTGTAAGGTATAGGAAAAAAGAAATATAAAAATAACAATTTGTGTCAAGGTTTAACACAGTACCATATAATTTAGTAATTATCACAACCTTTAGCCGACTTGAACAAACAAGAAAGCTAAGAAGAAGGCAGAAGGAATTCTTCCAAATATAGCTAATTCAGCAGCTGAAACTGTATTAATTGTTACAGCAGTCACTGCCTTCTTTTCTCAAGAAAATAGAAGAAAAAATGAATGTAGTACAACATGGAAAGGTACTGATCGCGAAACCTCTTGAAAAAATTTTTTCACCCGGAACAACTTCAAAGACATAAATTTTAATAAAATTTCGCTTTCTCCGGCTTGCCTCTGAAATAAAAGGTACCTTTAAAAATAAGCGTTCAAAAAGATGATTCATAAAGTAGTACTCATAGTATGTATTTGTTTGGGAATGAGAAATCTTTTCTAACCCGCAAATACACAATTAAATGGATGCATTATTACTAAAAATTTACCTTATCCAGAGGGCAAGGATAATAATTGTACTCTGCGCTAAAATAATAGTCATGAAAAATGATGACGATAAACAGGGAACGTTCGTGCAATAATCACCAATTTGAACATTTGGCTGAAAAAAAGTTCCAGTTTATGAAGAAAACATCCGTTATTACCGTTTATTAAAGAGATGAAAAAAAAAAGCGCTAAAGAGTGTAGAATGAAATAAACGGTCATAAGGTCAGGAACCAAAGGTACAGGAAATATCTGAGGAATTGTTTGGAAGACAAAAAAATAAGATAACAAGAATTCTAACAGAGCATATAACAGCACATATATTGTTTCGTGAATAAGATTTCAACCCCAAAAAAGAACATTTCTGAATAAGATAGTATTTTTTGCCTATTTCCATTATTTATTACAAATTAAACAAAAATTACTGCTCCAAGTTGCGTTGTTCTAATTTGTCGTACATCATTTTGTATTGCTTCAATGAGAGATCGTAAAGCCGGGTCTCCTGTAGTGCCAGATGGAGATCTTACTGCACTTCCATCTCCCATTTTCTGCTCAAGATTATAGGTACGAGTAAATATTTCATTTACATAGCTCTTCATATCCCGGACACTAGATGTTAAATCCCGTAATGACTATAACAAAAATTTCTTAACAAATATAAAAGTTTTCTAGCTTACATAATCGACAACAGTAAACTTTACGAAAAATTACAGAAAAAGACAATGACCTGCAATGCTTCATTCTTTTCATGCTGCTGGAAACCTCCAACACCGAGAGCCACTTCACCTGGTTTACCAAGCGTAGCTCCATCACTTCTAGTTGCACACTGTTGAATCAATGAAGATTGAACATTTTGCTGTTGACTAAAAGTGATGTTTTGGAATATTTTTCAATTTTCTATCATAGTAATTTCACATAAGAAAGTACTGCTTAAGAATACCTGATATCCTGCAATCGATTTTCCAGATGTTGCAGAATTTGATGAATATTTGTTTGCATTTCAATAATCATCCTCATTTCTCTCTGCGATGCATCTTCATATACTCCAGCGATTTCTTCATCCAATGTATCCAGTTTTGCTTTTTCTGGATGCTCTTCTTTGAATCTAAAAAAAATAGAAGAAAACATTTCGGTATCTCACGGAAAAGTATTCAAAAAAAAAACAAGCCAATTCATTAAATCGAAAATGTTATTGTAAACAATATTCATACTTTTGTCGTTCTTTTTCATACTCTTTCATTTGTCTTTCAAATTCAGCATCATATTTCTGTTTTTCCTCTTGTGGAAGAGAAGAAGGCACTGATCCTCTGTCGGTATATAATGAAAATACGCTATATTTAACAATATCATGATCATCTGCTAAACCACCTGTAGCAGCGGAAATACCTAAAAATTCAAAAAAATTTTTTTAGCAGAAGGAATATTTTTCGAAATTTATCATATCTTTAAGCTTCAATTAACTCAATACAATTATTATTCTACTATCATAATTTGCAGTACGTACCGAAAAACCCGTTCTTTGGCAAAAATATATTTTCAGCGCGAATACATAACTCGTAACGAGGTTTAGCTTGCAAACCATCGGATATTGATACGGTGAGAACATTGTGAAGGTATTCAATTTTCAGATGAACTGGATATGGTTTATTACGAAAATCTTTCTGGCAACCTGAACTTGCTAATTTTAATGAAAAGATACCCAAAAAATTTCTAAATATAAAAAACTCGATTTTCAAATGTCTTAAATATGAAAAAAATTAAGTACCAAGGCTTATTAAACCATTAGTTGCGATAACGGTTACTAGTTACTTTAGTTCCTTTCTAAAAATCAAACTGAAATTCAAGAAAGAATTCACCTGAAAGCATTTGTTGTGAGCCATCAGTCTGATGGTCATACTGTCTGGTACCATCGTTAATCATTAGTGCTACGAATGGATTATTTTTCTGGGCATCATTATCAAACGAATCCAGAAAAAGCCCCATTCCTGTCCAGTAATCATTTGCTCCAAACACCTGCAACAGAGATAAATGACTATGCTTCGACAAAATTTGAAGGCTAATAATATCATCAGGGTTATAAAAGAAAGCAAACACTAATAAGTGGATAAAAATAATCGTCCTTGTAAGGCAGAAACAGGTAAACAGTATACACTTTCCAGTATTCGAATGATCAAACGCAATCTCAGTGATTGACAACTAAAAACGTAATAACCGATATTAAATCTAGCAATACAGGTTAATTACTTTTATTGAGATCTCTCGATCATGATATCCCAAACTATTAAATGCATTTGGTTGAAATTACAAAAGCTAGTTGCAAAAAAATCTACTTACAGGACCGAGAGTGGGCTGCTGAGCAGTATACCAGACAGCAATACCATCAGCGCCAATACGACCTTGTCCAGTTATTCGAAAAGCAACTTGAATTTCAAAGTGATCTGACTCAGCCATTACTCGCTTATTCCACGCAAGTCCTAAAATTATTATATTCAAATATCTGTATTGAAAAACTTATCATTCTTCTTACAATCATTTGAAAAATTTATCATTCCTCTCAAAATCATTAAATTATCGATATTAGTAAGTCATGATCTTGTAACGACCATGCAACGCAATGAGACTTACCCTTTCGACTCCTCATAGATGGTGCTAATCGAAGTTGTTCACTGGAAGCTATTGCATCACCAGTAACTGTCCAGAACGGTATAGTGCCATCACGTAAAGCTAAGTCAGGTGCACGAAAACTATGCTTGTATTCAAAACGTCTTTGTACCGGCCCATTTGCTGCTTGCGTTAGTAATGATAACCTATATATTGTTATCAGTGATAAAAATGATATGAGGGTCCACATCAGAATTGCCCTAAAAATTAAAATAATAAATCACATTAGTGATAATCATGAGAAACAACGTCAGAGCCAATTAATTTAATAAATCTAAAAAAAATGACAATAAAAACATTCTATATAAAAATATTCCAAAAAGGCTCAGAATCTTTGGATCTATTTCATAAAATACAGTTAATCGTACTGATTAAACATGAATATGTAAATCAATTTTCTTTTTTTTCTCTCATTTCTTTCTTCATTCTCTACAGACAGAGCATATTATTACAATGCAATGGCAAAATCTTTGTTTACATATGATTAATGAAATTTAACAGCTTATTAGTCACACAGATATCACTATTAATTTTAGATTAATAAAAAATGTTTTAACAGAAAACAATTCCCATTAAGGCTTTTGCTATAATAATGAGGAGAAAAATTTTCAAGAATTCTTAATTTATAGTTACAATCTTAATCTTTCTACCAAGTTCAAAAAGTTTTTTTTAATGAAAGGATAAGGTTCGAAGTTTTCATCGCAAATGTTCATATAACCACCAGATAGATGTTCTTCGAAACATCACAGAACAGGTGATCAAACTATATATAGGTCAACCGTCTTTAGTGCCACCAATATCATTTTAAATTTGATGACTGAATATTATAGCTTTGTGATGTGATAGTTATGGCACTGATTATTAAATGATAAATCAGGGAGAAAAGATACATCATTGAATTATCAAGCAGATGTGTAAAGAAAGGCCTTCAGCAATAACAGTTTCACGAGCGCGTTCTTCAAATATTTTCTTGTGCTTTTCGACCATATTTTATAATTTAAATAAACAAAAAATGACAATAAATAATATACAATCTCCCTCAATTACTTTAAAACATACATGTTATTATTTTATTCACTGTGACAATCCATCAAACTCTGGTCATCTGTCAATCAAAGTCAATAGGATACACCGATAATAAACAGATAACCGATATGTTTGTTATTCAGGCTGACAATGCTTTTTACCTTTCTATCATCCAAATTTATCAAATAGAATCTTGCAGTAGCTATCAGACTGGAATTATTTCATAGGAATAAAAAAAACGATAATGTCTATTAAATTTGAAGATATATAAATGCTTCCAACATGAACAGTGTCAAAAATGAAATTTTTATCTTCTAGAAAAAGATTTTATTTTTA